TCCTTTACCGGAAGAAATGGCTCGGCTTCAGATCTTTAATCTTTAGAAATTAGTCAGTCAAATGATTAATTTGGATTTAATATTATATTATCCTTACAAGAGGCTTTGTATGATGTTATTTTTTAAGATGCATCTGATGCATTGGGAATTAATGTGTTTATGAAGCTTTGTTGTATCTAATATCATGCAGTTTACTGAAAATGTGTCTTATTGAATGTTGTTTTACAAACTGTTGTAGTGTCTGTTTCAGATTTCACTGTTTGTTAAAAATAGTGTAACATTAAGAAAGTTTTAACATAGTGTAGAAGACTAAATTTTTTCAATTTCATGATTTTAAAGATATGTATATAAAGAATACAATTATCTTTTGAAGTTTTTGTTCTATTAGTATGATTTATGCATCAAATCATTCTCTTAAAATATGTCTGATTTTATTTTATATGAACAGCTATGTGAGGTTAAAATTATTACTCCAATTTAATATGTAGCACAAAGGAAAATAAAGATAAAACTAGGAGAGAAATTTTGTTGTAATTTGAAAAGAACCTTAATTGAACAAACAAGTAAGGAATTAAAATTAGTTGATGTTTCAATTAGGTTTGAGAAGAGAATCTATATTCCTTTACCGGAAGAAATGGCTCGGCTTCAAATCTTTAAGCTTCACATAGGGAATACTCCTAACTCAATGAGAGAAGAAGATCTCCATATCCTTGCCAAGAAAACTGAGGGGTAGGCTTTCATTGATTTACATCTTACAACAAAGTTATACAGAATTAAAGTCAGTACAAAGTTCAATAAATGTAAATGAACATTTTAAGTAAAAATACAAAAATTAATATGTTTAGGAATGAATGATTATGAATTTAATCACACAGTGAAAAAAACTAAAAATATCTTCATATTTCAAGGTTTACCATGGTTGAACTAAATGTGAAATATAATTATTTCTCTTGTTATTAGAATCTAATGTTTAAATAGTTCTATATGGTATGGTACTATTAAGTCTTTGAATATATTAAACATAAATAACACGGATGTTGAAAGAAATCAACACTTAATGGTACACAATAGATATTTAATATGCTACAGCACAGTACTACTTATAGTTACTCCAGAGCTGACATTTGTGTTCTTTTCATATTATTAACATCTGGGTTAACCTTATGTCAGAACATCTGATGTAAAAAATACAGGTTAAAAACTATATTAATCTTTTCAGGTACTCCGGAGCTGATATTTCTGTCCTGGTTAGAGATGCTCTAATGCAACCTGTAAGGAAAGTCCAAACAGCTACCCATTTTCGTAAGGTAAGTATATTCAAAACACATTTTTATACTGTTTAATGTAATCAAATATCTTGGGAGTTTTGAAAAAGAAAAGGTCAGCAACCTTAGATGTTTGTATTGTTTTTGGTTAGTTGCATCAGATGTAACCTTATCCTATTTAATCTTTTTTTGTATGTTAAAGAATAACTCCAGGTTGTTTGAATTACTCGAACAAATTATTCATAATCACAGAAAATATTTTAAACACATGAACTTATCTAATTTAACCAATGATTTCACATTGCCACAAATGCAGGTGCGAGGTCCATCCAGAGATGACCCAAATATAATTGTTGATGATTTGTTGACCCCTTGTTCACCTGGCTCTCCAGGAGCTATTGAAATGTCGTGGATGGATGTACCTGGAGAGAAGCTGTTGGAGCCAGTTGTCACCATGGTATTATAGATTTGATATTGAAAATATAATCTTTTATGTAGTATATTTGATTTGGTTAAGATTTAAAGAAATAATAAATGTTTAATTGGTATAATTTACAGAAATAATTATGAAATATCTTGGGATTAAAGTGTCATAGCAGTAATAGTTCCTTAGAGGTAAGAGAAAAACAATTTAACAATAATTTCACTTAAAAAATTATATGAAAATTAAAACTTTTTTTTAAAAGAATTATGTAAATATTCTTAAAGCTTGTCTTAGTGCATTATTTTGACAGTAATAGAATGTAAACCTTAAAATTAAAATGTAGTTGTGATATCTTGTTTTTTTACTAAATTTACTGCAAAAATACTAAATACTTTCAAAAACTGTACTTTATATGATTTTGACAAAAGATCAAATCCTAAATAAACCCTATATAGACAGTTGAGCACATTTAAGATCTTGAGTGCAAAACCTGCACATAACATTTCATAAGTATAGTAGAAATAATAATTTTAACTATTTTAACAGTTCTTCCTCAGATTATATCCGAGGAATCTTGCCTATAAGCAAGGCATCTTTGGACTTTTTCTTAAATATTTCTACCCAACTGAAAACATAGGTTTATATTTGCTAAGAAACCATCTTCCCTTGAGATTTTTCTTCTCAGATTTCAATTGTACAGTCTTTCTTCACGCCCCCTTTTTTGCCGTCACAGTTTGTGTCATGAACAACTACTAATGAAGATCAGTTTTAAAAGTAACTACTGCAAAATTCAAATAATATTGGATAGAACAGATTATAAATTATTTATGTTAGTGGTAGAATGAATAAAATGGTGTGAGTAGTAGTTTGTGTATTTATGGGAAAGTGATCAGATGTAGCTCCTCAGAAAGGAACAGCAGAATTTAGAGAGAACTTCAGAAGACTTAGGAGAAAACCAGTGATTTGGGGATTTTTCTATAGTTTGTTTAAACATTCCTTTTTGAAAATGTTTTAGGGTTAAATTATATTTGTTTGAAAGCTATGAAAGTTTTTTGTGTAATAGGCCATTAGGTGAACCTAGTTTAGGGCATGGTTGGTGACAGAAAAAAATATTCCAATAACTCAAATCCTTATTTATTAATATCATTCTTAAGTTTATTGTACTTAAATAATATAGATAAGTAAAATTATTTTTTTATTGAAAAGAAACTACCATATTTTTTGGAAATAAATTGATCTCAACCAAGAATCTTATTAGTAAAAATGTTATTTTGCCTCACCTGACATCATTGTGATAGATCACCAATAAATCTTTGAAAGTTTTTCACTTTTTTTATATGATTAATAGCCTGAAATGATGACTACTGCAATCAGCAAAATAAGGTATCAAAAAAGTATGTTAATAGATATCAACAAGTTGAAACTGATGGAAATGTGTGTGTTTATTTATTTATTCATATATATATATTGTATTCTAAGTTTTTAAATCTAAATTTATGTGTAGTTGCATCATGGATTAAATTTTAATCAGTAAAATTTGCAATTATCCAGGGTTTTGAATTGCAAAAAGTTTCTTCTTTTCAGAGTGACGTTTTGTTATCATTGGCTAATTCAAAACCTACAGTTAATGATCACGACTTGGTAAAACTAAAGTTATTCATGGATGATTTCGGACAGGAAGGTTAGCAGAAAGCTAAAGGTAAGATAGGTTTTCTGTTGGATACAGATTTCTCTATGAATCTCAAAATTATTTTGTAATTCAAGAAAACATTACTTAGTTTTATATGTACATGTGTATATAAGAGTTGTAATGTAGATTGTTATTTTATTTAGCAAAATAAATAAAAGGTATTTGAGCTACAATTTTTTTCAGTTACTAGGCTAGGTAGTTATTTATCAGTTGTAAGTTATGTTCTCAAATTGGGACTTTATGTACTTCAATAGTGCTATTTAAAATTGGGTAGCTTTTAAACCAGATATTGGCTTCATGTTTTCTTAAGAACATGTGCATATTTATTAAAGTTATGTTATTTTTTTGCCCATAACAATCACAGGCCTTACAGTAAACCTAGTAAAGCCTATATTTTGAAAGTGGTCTTTTTTGTTATATAAATTGCCTTTAAAATGCGTTATTTCAACCAGTCTGGACCATGTGTGTGTATTTTCATGTTCCATAAAAATATGTTCTTTACTCTGGAGGCCTGTAGTCATTTTTACCTTTAAGAAGATGATGTTCATTCAGGCAGTAAAAATGATAGAAGTAGGCACAGAAATAAAATATTTTACATACATTCAAATTCTATATATCTTCAAGTAGGAAGACAGTTAACCTTCCAATAATTTGACAGTTGTATTCAACTCATTGAATTTGTTTCTATTCTTATTATCATTTTTTGCACATGCTGATATCTTCATTGGCTGCCAGTTTCCAGAATATCCCTTTTGAACTTATCCAATAGTTGCAGTTAAGCAGGGTGTTAACTCTCTCAACACAAGCTCAGTCAATATGACTGACTATATTACCTCTTTGTACTCGTTTAAAGTCTTTATAGACTTAATACGTCTAACTTTCAATATAGTGTGTATATCTTCACAAAATTTGGCAGTCTTTCAATTCATATTATAAGTATTTCACATACAAAAAATAAAATTTTTTAGTGAAGCATTTTTAATAAACTAAAATAAAGATTTGTCCATGAATATATTGAGTATTTGTTTTCAATTGTCCGTGTGTAAAAAGTAATTTCCTTTGTGTAATCCATAAAACGTC